TGTAGAGGATTGGAACGAAATTTTACCAGGACTTAAACTATTCATATTGCTAATTTCTGATACGTCTAGACTAATATCTTGCACTAATACTATACTATCTGAATATTCTGCATATTTAGCATTATTTGTTGTATTATTCATTTGAATTACTAAATCATTCTAAAATTTATTTTAAATTTTGTAAATAGTAAATCTAATATTAGATAATCAATACAAAGAAAATCATAATATACTTACAAAGTCTATAGACAGCTCTAAAAATATGTATATGATTGGGTTATGATGAGATTTATAAAACAGGCTTAACACAGTTATTTGATTTTTGTATCAGTTTAGAAATAATATCTAATAAATGTTTTATTGTTATTTAGAAGTTGGCGATTTAAAAATATTTAATGATGAAATTTGAGTAAAAGTTTATCATTTATATTCAAGTTTAAAAAGATAGTAAAATTTTGGCACCTAGAGGTTTTATTATTAAAAAAAAAATTAATTTTACACAGAATTCAATGAAAATAGATGTAGGTATAACTTTCTATGAATACTTACATTCTGCAGTCATATTTAAAATTTTTATAATTTCACATGAATCTTGAATCTGGACGTATATATATGCAAGCGATAATGATGAAAATTTTATTGCTTTAAAAAAATTTTATAAACCTATATAATCTTTAAACAGGCATAACTTTCTGTAAACATTTCTCATTATAACCTAATGTGACCTACCCTGCACATTAAAGTCGTAACCAACCACTTTTTGTTACATCCTTTATGGATAATAATAAGTTGAATTAGAATTTCAAAATTGTATCCTCATGTGTAAAAGCAGCATTTAATCTTTTGCTCAAAGGTTTTATTGATTATTATATGCTCGCTTTAGTTACTAACAAACTCATCTTTCTGCAAGCCTTTCCCCTTATATACACAAGATTTATAGTGGTTTTTTAAGTATCAGTTTTATATAAGAAAACCAGAAGTTTGATTTTGTGGGTCTAACTTCTTATTTATTAACTTTCGTATATATATTATTACATCACAATAGACTCTAAATTCTATTGTAGATCTATTATAATATAATAGACTCTAAATTCTATTGCAGATCTACCATAATAGATACAATAGACTTTAAATTCTAATATAGAAGACTTTTATTATTGCAATGATTATATTGCTCATGCTAATTATGATTGGTTCTGCACTTTATATCCAGCCTATATACTACAAATGAGTGTCGCCAAAAGAAAATCTGCCATTGGGCTTTCAATTATATTTTGTATAGACAAAATCAGTTTAATTTGTTAGAGATTGCATCCTGTATAAAATATAATTGAAAGCCTGATAACAAGTTTTCCCCTAGCAGCACTCAAATACAAAATTGAAGTTTTCACTAATCATCGCTCAAACCTTCCGTATTTAATAAAAGTAAAAAAAGCCCAATATATTTAATAATCTACCAACAAAAAAAATATAATCAATGGAAACCTTTTACTAATGATCACTCAAGCCTTTCATTGAGATTATAATTTGCCTACAAGAATTTAGAGTGTTCTCAAAAATCTTCCTGACTAGTTTATATCAATTCGATTGTTATTAAATGTTATCAATACATTAGTGTATTGGTACAACAAAGATTTTTTATTATTTAAAATTTTTCTTTATATATAAACTAAAGTTCTGCATCTTATTTATCTTAATATGTAGCAAGCATGTTTTAATTGGTTAAAAGTAATTTTCGCTAATTAAAATTTAATTATTTGATATATTTTTGCTATTGATTAAAGTGCCCTTGCTTTATGGAGATGTTAATTGTTTAAACTTTATCAATTTTGTAATTAACTAAGCCTAGTTCTTTTACTATACCAATCCTGCACAACTTGATATTATTTATTTGACTTTAGTTAATTTGTAGCGAAAAATTTATCAGATTTTGGTTTTTGCCTATTTGACCCATTGACCCGAGTTATGATCTGGGTTGAACCTTGACCCAAATTATTTTAATCTGGGTTATAATTTTCTGACCTAAGTAACAACTCTATAGCTGAGGAATCTGTGGGAAATAAGTCCAGAGTGAGTTTCAAATCTCTGGAGGAGACCAAGTATTGCTAGGCAGGTCACATCTAAGCAAAACACAGCGGTTTAATAGTTCACTCTGACTGCAAGTGGATGTTTCAGCATCTGTAAAGTACACTATGAGTGAGTTTACTCTTTGGTTAAAATACTATAGATTTAGATTTCTTCATATACCGATGTAAGAATGAAAGTCTGTTCTCATAATAAAGTAAACAGGATTGCTGAAAGAAAAAAAAATAATTTTTTTCAATTTATATCCAGTTGAAAGATATTTTGTGGTTGGCTGAAGAATTTTCGTCTGTAAAAAAAAAATGCACAAGATATCGCTGGAGAAATGCTCCGGGTTTATTAGATAGAACTTCATCACCATCTCCTGATGCATCGGCCTAGCTCATATCCCAATTTACCGATATCAATACCGATACAGACAGTGTAGATAGCAATAATGATAACCCTGATGATCCTGATGACCCCCCAATAAAGAAAATCCTGATGAGCCGGATGAAGAATACGAGTCTATTGCTGGGCCCAGTAACTTCCTGAAGTGATCTCAAATAAAAAGAGTTCCAATTAGAACTACTTTTTCTACAGGTATAGCATTGTTTCTCATCTTCCCGATAGTCATTTCACTGACAAGCCATTTAACTAACATATATTATTAGTAAATTATCACCTTGTGTAATGTTAGATAAATAGCCTGTCAATGCAATGATTATCAGGAAATTAGATGTAATTAAGAATGATAACGGCTGGCTATTTTCGGCTTAGCAGACTGGCTAAGCTGAAAATAGCCAGCCGTTGTCATCTCTAAATGTAATCCAGCTAAAGATCATATTAAAATATTAAATTTGAATTTGACAAAAAGCACTTGTCCAACCAACAATCTTTGCAACATTTAATAAAATTATTAAAAAAACTAATAAAGAAAAGCAAAAGGAAGTTGGTGAAGAAGAAGCAGAATATAATAAAGGAAAGCAAAAGGAAGTTGGCGAAGAAGAAGCAGAAATTGATAAAGGAAAGCAGAAGAAAGTTGGTGAAGAAGAAGCTGTAATTGATAAAGGAAAGCAGAAGGAAGTTGGCGAAGAAGGAGCTGAAGTTAATAAAGGAAAGCAGAAGGAAGTTGGTGAAGAAGGAGCCGAAGTTGATAACGGAAAGCAGAAGGAAGTTGGCGAAGAAGGAGCCGAAGTTGATAAAGAAAAGCAAATAGAAATTGACGAAGAAGAAGCTGATATTAATAAAGAAAAGCAGAAGGAAGTTGGTGAAGAAGGAGCCGAAGTTGATAACGGAAAGCAAAAGGAAGTTGGTGAAGAAGGAGCCGAAGTTGATAAAGAGAAGCAAATGGAAGTTGACGAAGAAGGAGCCAATATTGATAAAGAAAAGCAGAAGGAAGTTGGCAAAGAAGAAGACGAAGTTGGTAAAGAAAAGCAGAAGGAAGTTAGCAAAGAAGGAGCCGAAGTTGATAACAGAAAGCAGAAAGAAGTTGGCGAAGAAGGAGCCGAAGTTGATAAAGAAAAGCAAATGGAAGTTGACGAAGAAGGGGCCGATATTGATAAAGGAAAGCAGAAGGAAATTGTTGGTATGTATCGGAAAATAGTAATAGATACCAGCTATATAAAGTAATTTTATTTATATATACTTTTTCTGGTTTAGAATCCTATAGGAATCCTTCTTTAATATTAGAAGAAGAAACTTCTGGAGTTCCTAGTCATCAAGAGTCCAATATCAGCGCATCTGATGTTAACTATCAAGATCCTAATGCTAATGATATTAAAATTATAGAGACTCTTGCAAACACCGAAATCTTCTTACAACGTTTATTAGAACCAGAAAAACTAGAAGTTCAGAAGAAGGAAAGTGAGGAAAATAAGGAAAGTGAACACAACTAAAAGTAAAAGAAAAAAAAACAAAAAAAAAACAAAAAAAAAATAAAAAAAAGAAAAAAAACAAAAAAAACGAAAAAAAAGAAAAAAAAACGTTTTCTTTTCTTGTTTTGATATCGGGTTATTGAAACTTTTTTTAATACATATTATTAAAGCGCAAATAATATATGTA